ATCATGAATGAACTTCCATTCACAATTGCTTCAAAGAGAATAAAATACCTAGGAATCCAACTGACAAGGGATGTAAAGGACCTCTTCAGGGAGAACTACAAACCACTGCTCAGTGAAATAAAAGAGGACACAAATAGAAGAACATTCCATGCTCATGGATAGGAAGAATCAATATCATGAAAATGGCCATACTGCCCAAGGTAATTTATAGATTCAGTGCCATTCCCATCAAGCTACCGATGAGTTTCTTCACAGAATTGGAAAAAACTGCTTTAAAGTTCATATGGAACCAAAAAAGAGCCCACATTGCCAAGACAATCCTAAGTCAAAAGAACAAAGCTAGAGGCATCACGTTACCTGACTTCAAACTATACTACAAGTCTACAGTAACCAAAACAGCATGGTACTGGTACCAAAACAGAGATATAGACCAATGGAACAGAACAGAGCCCTCAGAAATAATGCCACACATCTACAGCCATCTGATCTTTGACAAACCTGACAAAAACAAGAAATGAGGAAAGGATTCCCTATTTAATAAATGGTGCTGGGAAAATTGGCTAGCCATAAGTAGAAAGTTGAAATTGGATCCTTCCCTTACTCCTTATACGAAAATTAATTCAAGATGGATTACAGACTTAAATGTTAGACCTAATATCATAAAAGCCCTAGAAGAAAACCTAGGTAATACCATTCAGGACATAGGCATGGGCAAAGACTTCATGTCTAAAACACCAAAAGCAACGGCAACAAAAGCCAAAATTGACAAATGGGATCTAATTAAACTAAAGAGCTTCTGCACAGCAAAAGAAACTATCATCAGAGTGAACAGGCAACCTACAGAATGGGAGAAAATTTTTGCAATCTACTCATCTGACAAAGGGCTAATATCCAGAACCCAGAAAGAACTCAAACAAATTTACGAGAAAAAAATAAACAACCCCATCAAAAAGTGGGCAAAGGATATGAACAGACATTTCTCAAAAGAAGACATGCATACAGCCAACAGTTACATGAAAAAATGCTCATAATCACTGGCCATCAGAGAAATGCAAATCAAAACAACAATGAGATACCATCTCACACCAGTTAGAATGGCAATCATTAAAAACTCAGGAAACAACAGGTGCTGGAGAGGATGTGGAAAAATAGGAACACTTTTACACTGTTGGTGGGATTGTAAACTAGTTCAACCATTATGGAAAACAGTATGGCGATTCCTCAAGGATCTAGAACTAGAAATACCATATGACCCAGCCATCCCATTACTGGGTATATACCCAAAGGATTATAAATCATGCTGCTATAAAGACACATGCACACATTATGTTTATTGAGGCACTATTCACAATAGCAAGGACTTGGAATCAACCCAAATGTCCATCAGTGACAGACAGGATTAAGAAAATGTGGCACATATACACCATGGAATACTATGCAGCCATAAAAAAGGATGAGTTCCCTACAAAGGACACGGATGCAGCTGGAAACCATCATTCTCAGCAAACTATCACAAGAACAGAAAACCAAACACCACATGTTCTCACTCATAGGTGGGAACTGAACAATGAGATCACTTGGACTCTGGAAGGGGAACATCACACACTAGGGCCTATTATGGGGAGGGGAGAGTGGGAGGGATGCCACTGGGAGTTATACCTGATGTAAATGATGAGTTCATGGGTGCTGATGAGTTGATGGGTGCAGCACACCAACATGGCACAAGTATACATATGTAATAAACCTGCACGTTATGCACATGTACCCTAGAACTTAAAGTATAATAAAATAATAATAATAATAATAACGATAAAAATTTTAAAAATTAAAAATCTGTGTCCTGGACACAGGGAACCAAGGCAGTGGCCCAGCCCCAGTAAACTGTGTGGCTTACAAGGCCTGTCATTCGCTCTCTCTGGATCTTGGATTCTCTTCCCTACTAATTGAGATGCTTCAGTGACTTACCAGCCTCAGTGCTATTGATACTCTGGGCTGCATAATTCTTTCACGGGGTCAGGGACTGCCTGTGCATTGTAAGGTGCTTAGCCACATTCCTGGCCTCTACCCAGTAGATGCCAGTGGCAACCTCCACCCCCTCCCCACCAAGTATGACAAACAAAAAAGTCTCCAGAGATTGCCAAAACTGCCCTGGGAACAAAATTATACCTCTTTCTCCTCTTGAAAACCACTGGGCTAGATGGCTTCTGACCTGTTGAAATAAAGGCTTGGTTTCATGTTTTTGAGACTGAAAATAACAAGGACAAATACAAGACAGAAATTTACTTTTCTCTTATATCAAAGTCGGTGATGATAAGGCAGCTCTTCTCTGTGAAGTTATTAAGGACCCAGACCTCTTTTATCTTGTTGTTTTGCCATCCACAGGGTTTTCTCTAGGCTGGTCCATGTTGGTCTGCCACTGCATCCAATCAACAGGATGGAAGAAAGGGGAGAGGGATAAGTAGGTTCACGTAATCACTGTCATCTCATTGGCCAGAATTTAGTCACATGGCCATATCTAACTACAAAGGAGACTGGGAAAGATAGTCTTTCTAATGGGCTGCATGAGCCCAGCTTAATTCATTTAAAATCACAACTTGGACTGTTCTTCACCTACTTTTTTTTTTTTTTTTTTTTTTGGTTGGTGGGGGAAAATGTTTGGGAAATGTGTCCTCAGCGAATTTGGGGAGGTGGGAATTCAGTTCTCTCCATGCTCTTTATTTCCTTCCCTTCCTCAAACCTCAGAGCCTCCAAGGCCCAGCTGTCTGTATCATAGAATTCCAGCCGCCTGACAGATCCGTCCAAAAAGCTCAGAGCTGGTTGTCTTCATACTGAGGAAAAATTCTGAAGGTCAGCTCTCAGTATTTTAGTAGTTGCAGAGAGAACTACATTCTGCCGAGGGCTCTGGGAGTGAACCTGAAGCCATGTTTAAAGAGGCTTGTGTGAAAAGAGAGATGTAAGAGATTTGAAGATCACAGCGAGCCCTGAAGAGTCAGATTCTGCCCAGAATCGGATGACTTCTGATAGCAGTGGCGGGAGCGTCCAGAGGCAAGGGGAGAACTGAAACTTTTTGCATCTCTTAGTGTGGCGTCTTTAGCTTTGCCTCTAAAATTGCTCATTTATTAATCTACTTAATACATAATTTTATTAATAAACTCACAAATTCAATTGTTTTCTCTTCTAGATTGGAATGTCATGTATGTTAGACTGTTTCTCCTCTGCTAGCTGATAATAGCGCAGCAGAGATAAGGTTTAAAATCCCCAATACTCTGCATTTAATAGTAGAGTTATCCCTCAATATCCGCAGGAAATTGGCTCCAGGACTTTCTGTGGATACCCATACCCGAGGATGTTCAAGTCTCTGGTATAAAATGGCATAGTATTTGCGTACAACCTATGTGCATTCTCTTGTACAGTTTAAATCATCTCTAGATTACTTATAATACCTAATACAATGTAAATGCTATGTAAATAGTTGTTACACTGTGTTGTTTAGAAAATAATGACCAGGAAAAAAGTCCGTCCATGTTCAGGACAGATGCAATTTTTATTCACGTTTGGGTGAATCCACAGATGTGGAAGGCCAACTGTACTTATTACATGTGTAGTTCATTATACAGTATATGTAACTATCTAATTATACAACATATAATTATCCACTGCAACATATAGTTACCTATTATAATATATAATTACATAACATTTTACAGATAAGCTGTAAAAGAAAAAACATAAACTGTAGGAAACCAAGAACACTCAATATAGGAAAGAGAGTGCTAAATTGAACTACGCTTGATTCTTAGTTCAAGAAAGTCAGGATGGGTGAGATTGTGTTTTTCTCTGTTACATAACAAAATTGGCCTTCTAAGTTAGAGTTTGTTAATTCTCAAGCATTTAATTTCATGCATTTTCAGTAGACTATTGGCTATAATTACTGTAATTTTTAAATTTTTTATTGTGAAGTATCATACGCATGCAGAAAAGTACACTAGTATGTATACGAATTATCATAAATGAAAAATATAAACAAATTACTATGAAGTGAACACTCATCTGTCCATCTCCGCAGGATAAGAAATGAAAAACACTACCACTGCTCAAAAGCCCCCTCATGCCCTTTCCCAATTACCACTCTATTCCTTCCTCAAAAGATAAACACTGTGCTTACTTAACAGTATAATTTCATTTTGCCTGTTTTTTAACTTTATATAAGTAGAATCATACCTTCTTCTTCTTCTCCTTCTCCTTCTCCTCCTCCTTTTTTTCCGAGATGGAATCTCGCTGTCACCCAGGCTGGACTCCGCCTCCCGGGTTCAAGTAATTCTCCTGCTTCAGGTTCCTGAGTAGCTGTGACTACAGCCCCCGGCCCACCCCAACCACTCCTGGCTAATTTTTTATATTTTTAGTAGAGACAGAGTTTCACCATGTTGGCCAGGCTGGTCTCGAACTCCTGACCTCAAGTGATCTGCCCACCTTGGCCTCCCAAAGCTCTGGGATTACAGATGTGAGTCACTGCACCTGGCCAAATCATGCATTTTCTTAAAGCATTCTTAGAGGAAAACATTGGGTGCTCGTGTTTACCATTGAGTCAATAAGATGGGATATTTTAAATAGGGACTGCCTTGAAATTTAGAACATAGAGTAAGTGAAATTTTGTCTCTTTATGAAAAATGTCTATCTCTAGATAGACTTATTCCACCAGAAAAAAGAGCAAGGCTGTGACTGCTCAGTTTAAGAGATCTAGAAGCTTTTTCTAGGAGGCAGCAACTTGTCCCCAAATAAAATAGTTATGTTCTCTTTGACAAGAACGCAGAAAGTTCCCACAGTCAATCACACACTAACAGATGGGATTTAGTGACTGGGGAAAAAAAGCATGCAAATAAAACTTCAAAGAGACAGAAAGATTGAAGAAAGAGAAAGATAAGATTTTGCCTTATTTATTTTAGAAGTGGTTGTTAAATAAAGTCACTCATAATACATTTGTCTTTCTGTTTTGTTTATAGATCACGGTAACTACTTGAGACCGGGCACGGTGACTCATGTCTGTAATCCCAGCACTTTGGAACGCTGAGGGAGGGAGATCACTTGAGGTCAGGAGTTCAAGACCAGCCTGGCCAACGTGGTGAAACCCTGTCTCTACTAAAAATATAAAAATTAGCTGGGCTTGGTGTCTCATATCTGTAATCCCAACTACTCGGGAGGCTGAGGCAGGAGAATCTCTTGACTCCAGGAGGCAGAGGTTGCAGTGAGCAGAGATCAAGCCACTGCATTCTAACCTGGGCAACAGAGGGAGACTCCTTCTCAAAAAAAAAAAAATAATAATAATAACTACTTGAACCAGGAAAGGGAAGAAGAAAATGGAAAATTAAAGAATTAGAGTTTACATTTATCAGTTTTTGCTAAATTTTGTTGTGTAACAACCAACCTCTAAACATCAATAGCCTAAAGCAATAAAGGCTTTTGCCTTACTTATATTACTTCAGCTGCAGTGAGCTGCCACTGTGTTCCACATGTCTTTTTCTTCCATAACACAAGCTTAAGGAGCAGTTTGATCTAGGATATATCATTCCTAAGGCAGAGGAAAAAGAAAAAGAGATGGCAGAGCTACTCAGTGACTACTAAAACTTCTGCTTGGCCCTGACATGTGTCACTTGCTGCTTAGATTTCATTAACAAAGCAAGTCACTTGGCCAAGCTTGACATTAGTTGACATTAGTCCTTTCTAGAGACAGCAGATCATTAGAACAGTGCAGACTATTACAGGAGTCATTTTCAAATGAAGATCAGTCAGAAATTATAATACAAAGATCAGGGTGAAAGGGAAGTAGTTCCCCAAAATTCAACGTGCACAATCAGAATCTACCCATTTGTAGATTACCCATTCATGTAAGAAAATCCACTAAATAATTCATAATATATGCCTTAGATATGTTAGAAGCCCATATAGTTCATAAAAGAACAGTGACTTCTTTAGGAAGCATCTTTCACTCTGTGCACTGGATTTCCAATACATTGTTTTGTTCTCTGGAAGAGTGTGAAGAATTCTCAGATGAGAGGAAGAGCCGTAGCCTAATCCCTGCTTTGTACCCAGAAGCCTCTGCTTACAGCCTGGATTTTCAGTATCTCTTCTGTTCTATAATCCTCCTCTATATGGACTCCTGTGAGGATATAAATTATCTATCTTCAGCCATAAGTTTTCTGTGATGTATTTTCAGAAATTTCACAGTGTCTATCCTTGCTGACAACATAAATCCTTTCTTCATACTGAAAAGACCAGAAAACAATTCTGTTTCTTTAGACGGTTCTTTGCTCTACAACTTCCTCATTTAAACAGCACTTTCTTAGCCTTGTAGAATTTGTTTTGTTGAAGTGTTTTCTTTCTTTTTGAAATAAGCATTTTTCATCTAATTTTGAATGATTCTGGCTGCTGGATTACCTATCTTGAAAGTGAGTCAGGAGACTTGTTGGTTTGGGGGGATTAGAGAAGCAAGTGGATTTCAATTTTTCAAAATGCAAGTCTGACACCTTCTGGAAAGCATGTGACTATTACACCCACAAGTTAGTTCCCTTGCTCCACTATTCAGAAGACCAGGAGTACATGAAGTTAGATGGGGAAAATCTTGCATTTTTATTTCCATAAACTGCTGTTTAGGATTTTCTTCAATTATGAATACGGACAACTAACCATAGTAGTAGTATTAGTAATGTTGTCAACAGTAGAAATTATAGATTTTTAAAATTACATTATAGTTATTGCAGATATCAAAAAATATTGTTTCCACTCACCATTAATTTGAAATTCTGATAGATCTGTCATTAGATCTCGTTATTTAATGAGTTAGTATAAAACACGTACATTAGTATTTCATACATTTGCTATTTTAACCTTATGACTTTTGAATATTTCAGTATAATTGGTTTTCTTTGAAATTCTATGTATATTATTAATATTTTGCACATTTAAAGAATATTTTGAGAAGTTGTCTATAATTTACAACCAAACAGCTACAGGTTTATGGTACAAAAAAGATTAAGAATGCTTGTTCTAGATGCATCTAAAAGGGATAAAGGAGGACAAAAGAATATATAGAACTGCATCTCTCTTTCACAAAAATAATTATTTTTAGTTCTTGTGTATAGAGTTAAATGGCAAGAGTATTTTAGCATAAAATAATGTTTTGGTATTATATTAATCATTAATGTACAAAGCTTGTCTTTCCTTTTTCTTCTCATGAAAATGGATCCCAAAACTGTGTCAAGGAAGCTACCCCTTCTTCCTTCACTCCCCTCCCTCTACCCCGCACCACAAAGTAAAGTTTTTTAAAAATGTCTTTTTTAAACTATGAAGTTCGTTTTTAATTTTTATATCAGGTAATAGTTCCTGGACACTGAATTGCAATTGACAAAGGGAATAAGAAAAGACTAGCGAATTTCCCATCATCCATTAAAATGCTTCTACATTAGGAACAGCAGAAACACACCTGAGCTCTATGGTGTTCCTGGGCGAGCAAGGGGGCCACTGCTGAGCACACTCTGTGTGTGGAGCTGCTTATTTTACAAGTGGACTGGAGAGTCGGCTCCAAGTGTGTGGCATATGCTCTGAGGGAGCACAAGATCATCCAGCAGGAAGCAGAAAGAAAAAATTGGAACTTCTGTTTCTGTTTATCTAAAATTTGAAAACCAACCAATTTTACCAGTATTTCTCACACATTCTTTCTGTACGTCAGCAGGTCAGGATCCTATGAGAGGCGTGAGGCATCCTCAGGGAGGTGTGGAACTTCCACAAAGCAGTGGGGCTGGCAGCCAACCTTCATCCTTCCTCTGCTTTGGAGCTGCTGAGACATTTGCAGTTTTTGTGCACCTAGTTAAGAGACTCCACAAATGCATTATCTTGTTTTAACTAAGCTTGTCTTCACAAAGTGGAGTTCTGCATGGAACTGTGGGTTGAAGATAATATTTGCAATGATGCGATCTCATAAACTTACAAAAATACCATGGTTCATTTACTCCCAATGTGACCCTTTCAGAAACAATACAAAGAAAAAAAATGACCAACTCATCACATCTAATAATTAATTGAATGTCCTAAAATGGAAATGATCAAGATGATTTAATATACGGATTGATAAATGTTGTTGCTAATGATGACCTTGCCTGCAGTGCATATTGTTCCTTGAGAAGTTAGTTAATAGTAGCCGTACATATAAAGAACTTATATATATGTAAGTTCAAATATTATTTACTAAGAAAAATATGTTATCAAAAGAGTTTGAATAGTACTATTATAAAGCTCCAAGAATAAAGTTTTTGAACCAAACTATGAATTAAAAAGGTCTGTTGTGAGTTCAGAATCATTAGAAGAGGGAGTGCCATGTTGGCCAAAGTGTGTTTTGCTGGCCCAGGATTTTAAATCTAACAATAATGTGGAACAGCGAGAAGACATTGTTTGTTGAAATGGACATTAGGGTATTGTGGACTGAGTGTATTTATCCATCTCTGCCTGTCTCCCCAGTTAGATTGTGGACCTTATGCTGCCAAGAATTGTGTCTATTAGTCCCACATTCCAAGCTGCTGCCTGGAATCAGTAGGTGCTCAGAAAACATTTGCTGGGCTTATGGATTCAAAGAAACAAATAACTAAGGGGAATTTGACCTTTGGTTTATAGCACAACTTCTCTTTGCCCCTTAGCATTTCCCAGTGATGGGAAGTTATTCCTAGTTGGAAAGCAGAATCCAAATGACAGCATCAGGAGCTTGAGCTGACAGAAAGCATCAGCTCCCAGAGAGCTGGAAGTCCTTCCCCACCCTGGGCCTGCAATAGCCTTTCCACATTGTGCTATATTACACCAACTACAATTTCATGCCATATTTGTGTTGCTGATTGTCTACCACTATTATTTGGGGAGTTCCTGGTGGGGAGACACAGTGTCTTACTCATCCTTATTTTCCTGATGGCTAGAACAATGCCAGACACAGAAGAAAGCAGCAGGGAGCAAATGCATATGAGCACCTGCTCAGCGCCAGGCGCTTGACATGTGCTATCTATTCGATTATCACACTAACCTTACAACGGTTAAATTACATTCCCGTGGCCACACAGTTTAAGTAAGGGATCCAGGATTTTGAGTCCAGGTTTGATTCCAAGTCCAGGACTCTTTCCACTACCCCATATTATGTCAATAAATGTGGGATACATAAAGTGATTGATTAACTAACATAACCTCTTCATTGTGGCTCTCAAATGGTAGCCACACAAATATGGCTCCCTGCCACGTAGTGGAGCCCACTTCATTTTCAAGAGCCTTAATCGTCAACTTCCTTTCATTGATCTAAACTCTGCTTCCCTACAATTTCTACTTACTGCTCCTTGTTCTTCTCCAGAGCCACATGGGATAACTAATGCCCCTTCCACAAAATCATCCCTTGGCTTCTGAAGACAGTCACTATGTGTCTACCCCTCACCAAGTAGCTGTTTTTCCATGCCATCATTACCAATCGGCTTGCAGGAAGCAAAAAGGAAGCCTGATTTTAATCTTTCAATTGTGGATCCTTTGCCATGAGCTGTGTACCTTATCTAGACAGAAGGTTCCTGAATTTATCCTCAGCTAGACCCAAATGGGATATGCCTTCCTGGTGCTCCGTTATGCATCAAAACATGGCAGTGAACACCCAACTGGCCATTGCTTTTTCCCTTGTGAATGTTCACCTATGCTGGCAAGCACGGGTTGCAGGCCTGGGGAAGGTGGGTGATTCACCAGGTGTGTCTGGATGGGCTCTATGGAAAGTACCTTTAGCAGCTTCTCTCAAAGTGCGGTCAGGGACCACCTGCATCAGAATCAGTGGAAGTCTGTGTTAAAATGCAAATTCCTGGCCCCACCCTAGAACACCTAGATCAGAATTCCTAGGATAAGACCTGGAATCCTTACTTTTAAATGAGCAATGATTCAGCAATGATTCAGCAATGATTCTGATGCACACTCGAGCTTGGGAGGCTCTGGACTAAAGCAGGCCATGACTAAGTGGCCTGGCAGTTGCCATGTGGATAGTGAAATCCACATTGGTGGATGGCAACTAGAGTCAGTTCACATAAATAAGAAATATTTTTAAATGAAATGGGATTGTCAGTACTTATGTAATGTAAGAAAAGCAAAAGGTTCTGGCAAGGAAGCTTAGCAGCAATCACATAGGAAACCATGATTTAAAAAAAAAAAAAGGATCCTGTAGTTAGCAGGGCTGGCCTAGGCAATGTAAGGAAGTGGACACTTGTAACAGCCCCTTTTAAAGGTTCTGAAAATTCCTCTGAGACTCTCTAGTGGTGATTTATAAAGGAGTGAGGTGATTGCAACCAATAGATTTTATTTGATTTGGAAGAACACATGGCTAAGATGGAAGATGAATTCCTAATGTTAGCTTGGACCCATCTGTGGGCTGTGTTGACAAGGGACAAAGTAGTCTCTTCCAAACTCAGTGTCTCCTATGGGGCTTTCACTGAGACCCAGTGAGTTGAGTCCTCGGTGTCTCTGAAGGATTTCTGAAATAAAATAACCCTTCATCCCCACTCCCAAACTCTTTTATTAAAAGAAAAGATTTTTTAATATAAATTGAATAAACCCCGAAATCCCATATGGCTCAGGTGATACTTAGATGCCTTCAGAAACATCCGGGAACCAAAAGTAATAAAAAGAAATTCCATTTTTTACTTTTGTTTTTTAAAGAAATTAAGGCAGCGCTTTGAGAGGCTGAGACAGGTGGATCCTGAGGTCAGGAGATTGAGACCATCCTGGCTAATACAGTGAAACTTCATCTCTACTAAAAAATACAAAAAATTAGCTGGGCGAGGTGGCGGGCGCCTGCAGTCCCAGCTACTCGGGAGGCTGAGGCAGGAGAATGTCGTGAACCCGGGAGGCAGAGCTTGCAGTGAGCCGAGATTGCGTCACTGCACTCCAGCCTGGGTGACAGTGAGAGACTCTGTCTCAAAAAAAAAAAAAAAAAAAAGAAAAAAAAGAAAAGAAATTAAGGGAGATTCCATTTCTGTCACTAAGTACTACTTAAAATCATCTCTCCCCTTGTTCTTTCTCTCTCACACCTCTTAGCTGCCCAAAGCCTCTTCTCTACACTCTGACTCAGTTTTCTCTGCAGAAAGCCTCTGGACTTACTGGGGCTGAAAGGTCACATGTAGGGGAAGGAACAGCAAGGCAAAAGCTCTTGTAGAAACCATAACTGATGCCTTGGGAATTCTGCTCTGAGAGCTGTTATGAGCCCTCCCTGGAATGTTTTTAGCTTCTCCGGGGGTCTTGCTGTTAGTGAGGTTATTTCTGTCACTGACTTCTCTTCCTTCTCAGCCTCTATGGTCTTGCACCTGACTGAAATAAACAGAAGCCACTAGACAGGTCACTAAGAAGGTAGAAGTTCATGAACAAAACAGCTGGTGTATTTGAGCAAATATTTTATTCTTTTTTTTTTTTTGACGGTGTTCACTCTTGTTGCCCAGGCTGGAGTGCAATGGTGCAATCTTGGCTCACTGCAACCTCCGCCTCCCTGTTCAAGCAATTCTCCTGCCTCAGCCTCCCGAGTAGCTGGGATTACAGGCACCAGCCACCATGCCCAGCTAACACGCCCAGCTAATTTTTGTATTTTTAGTAGAGTCAGGGTCTCACCCATATTGGCCAGGATGGTCTTGAACTTCGGGTGATGCACCTGCCTTGGCCTCCCAAAGTGCTGGGAATTACAGGTGTGAGCCACCACACCCGGCCACATTTTATTCTTTTAATTTCAATTGTTTTATTAAAACTCAGACCATCCTTATCTGGTGAAATGCTTGATCTGGTGAACTGCTTGAACAGCAGGCGAAGAGAAAATAGCAACCGATCAATAGATGCCAGTAGGCAGTCTCATTCCCAAACAAGATAAAAGACCATGGACTCTGAGCTCAAACCAAAATATTTACATGATATCTTGTTGAGGACATTCTCGGCAGTTTGGAGGGGACATTAGGGTGTAGACAACAAGAAAAATCACTGAAGGATGTTGGGAATGGCCTGGGCTAGAAAAGGATGAGCTAACGTGTTGGGTTAGGTTTCTCCAGCTCTGATTTCTTAAGCAGCCATTGGAATAAGAAAGTGGGCAAATTCCCAATAGGGGAGGACAATCCCCCTGATCCCAGCTCGTTGGGAAAAGGGCCTAACTCTGCTTCTCCCTTCCCATTCCCCAGCAGCAACATAAAAAAGCACAAAATGTCTCAGTGCCCTGGAATTTCTTCACTCAGATGACCCTGGGTGGATTTGCGTCAAAAACACAGATTTATAAAACGGCAAATTATTTGTGAAAAATTCTTCACTTTAGAGGAAGAACTGTAGAGCATCACCACAGGATTATTCATGAATACATTTGAAAAATATGAATCTAGGTAAGAGATTCTGATATACCCATAGATTTTCAGGAACATATCTTCTGCATTAGGGAAACATTCTGCAAAAAATGTCCATCAGGCCCAAGCACTTTTAGCAGCTGAGTAGCCCATCTGGGAAACAACTCCGGAACCCCTTCAGACGAACCCGCTGAGGCTGGGTGACATGGCCATCCCTGAGCCCCTGCTAGCTCATTTGTGGGCAGTATTTTTCACAGATGCTCCCTCGCATGTAGCAATTTCCGGATATTTTTCAAATGGTTTTTATCCTGCCAGCTGGGCGCAGTGGAGGGACTATAGCTTGGAGAACTCAGCCGGATGGACCCATCAAAGACAGCTTGCCGGCCCGGTTGGGATTAGACTGCAATGTTTGCGCCTTGCCCTGAGGTTGGCACCTATCCCCTACCCTGTTGATTTCCATCCCCACTCCTTCCACTTCCCTAGTCCTCTTGGCCTGTTATGAGACCACTAACCTGTCATCCTACCCCTATGAAAACCTCCTTCCCAGGTTCACATTAATGGACACCATTAATGTGCAGGCAATGTAATGGAGGGAGAACAATATTCTAAGAGTAGGAAAATGTGAGCTAGACCCAGTTCTGCCACTAATTAGCTCCATGGCCTTGGTCAAGTTGTGTAACTTCTCTGGGTCTCATTTTCCTTTCTGGTAAAATGAAGGGCCCCATCACTACTTTCAAGTAAGGCCTTTACCAAGTCATCCAACTTGTTCCAATAAGTCGT